AAGCTCTGATGGTCTGCCCAGTATTAAAGGAACATCTTTATCTTATTCCATATCCAGAATCAGAAAGTCTGCTGGGAATATGAATTTCTCCACTTTAACCAACACGTCTTCAATTATTCCTCGTGGATGTGCTAATGATCTGTCAGCCAGCTGTAAAGTCACCGTGGTAGCTTTAGCTTCTCCCAATCCTAATTTCCTGAAAACAGACAATGGCATTAAGTTAATACTTGCACCAAGATCACATAAAGCTTTATCAAAATAGAATTCACCAATGGTACAAGGGACAGTGAAACTCCCTGGATCTTTCAATTTTGGTGGGAGCTTTCTCTGAATCCTGGCACTACACTCCTCGGTTAACATAACTGTCTCATGATCTCCTAGCTTCCTTTTGTTTGACAGGATGTCTTTCAGGAATTTTGCATAGCTAGGCATCTAAACCAGTGCTTCAGCAAATGGGATGTTGATATGGAGCTTCTTGAAGACCTCGAGAAACTTCTTGTATTGTTGTTCCATCTTTTGCTTCTTCAGCCTCTGAGGGAACGGTATGGGTGGCTCATAGGGGTTTACAGCTACAGTTTCTTTATCCCTTGAGTTTCCTTTATTTGCTCTCGGTGTTGGCTCTTCTGTCTGTTCTTCTTGCTCCAAATTCTCTTCTACTTCAGGAGACACCTCTTCTCTGTTTGTCACGGGATTATTCACTTGTCTCTCAGGAAATTTCGCCCCACTTCTCGTTGTTATAGCCTTTGCATGCTCTTTCGGATTGACTTCTGTGTTACTTGGCAGGCTGCCTGGTGCTCTACCTGTTAATGCAACTGCCATCTGTCCCATCTGAGTTTCCAAATTCTTAATGGCTGCATTCTGGTCCTGAAGAGTAGCTTCAGTCTTCTTCATGAATTGGTTGTTCGCCTCCATATATTGGTTGGTCTGTTCCATGAATTTTCCAAACATTTCTTCCAATTGAGGCTTCTTCTCTTGCTGTTGGTATTGCCCTTGTGACATGTTCTGATTTTGGTTGCTCCAAAAAAAGTTAGGGTGCTTTTTCCAGATTGGGTTGAAGGTCTCTCCATACACATTATTCTGCTGGCGTTGTCCCCATTGAGCAAAATCTGCTTGCTCTTTTCCTTGTGTCAAAATTGGACATTCTGCTGTCACATGCTCAGCTCCACATTCTTCACAATTTGCCTTCTTTGTCTGCGCTAAATTAGCTGACTGGGTAATATTTTTCACCTTGTGAAATAAGGAGTCAATCTTGGCAGATAACGCTGAATACACATCCACTTCATAAACTCCTGGTGTCTTCTTTGGTACTGCTCGTTCCATGGTCCACATTGCTGAGGTTGTAGCCATTGTCTCATATAACTTCAATGCTTCATCAATTGTTTTTGTGGACAATGACCCATTAGCTGAAGAGTCGACCATGCTCTTGAAAGCTGGAAGTAGCCCTGCATAGAAATATTGGACCTGAAGTCCCTTGCTAATCCCGTGGTGTGGACACTTCCTTAGTAGATTTTTGAATCTGTTCCATGTCTCATCAAAATTTTCAGATTCACCTTGCCTGAAGATAGATATGTCGTGCTTTAGCTTTGCAATCTTGGCCGGTGGAAAGAACTTAGTACAGAACTTCTGAGCTAGATCATTCGAAGTAGTAATGCTGGCTATCGGCTGAGAGTCGAGCCATTCAATCGCCTTGTCCCGCAAAGTATGTGGAAACAGTCTTAATCTTATGGCGTCGTCAGAGATTCCTTGATATCTGAAGTGTTGGCACATCTCTAAGAAGCGCGAGACATGCGTGTGCGGGTTCTCTTCAACTCTTCCATAAAACTGATGTCCGTTCTGGAACAGTTGTATCACATTTGTCTTCAACTGGAAATTTGGCTGCCCGAATGGTGGATACACAATGCTGGACTGGCTTTGAATGATTTGAGGGGTCATGAACTCTCCAACGAGCATGTTTCCTTCGTCTTCTTCCCCTCTTCCATTGGCTTGTACAACAGAATTGTGTTGTACGTTCTCCATCTGATTTCTCGCTGCTTTGTTTTCTCTTTGCCTTCTTCTAAAGCGTCGTTCGATCTCTGGGTCGGCTGGAAGTAGATCTCCTTCAGCAAATCTTGGCATGCACTTCTGCAATAGGATTCAATTTAAAGACTTAATTAACTAAAATATGCACTTATGTAATAAAATTAAATAACAGTAAAATAAAATGAACTAAAATAGATTAAAAATAAAAAAGAAAAAAAATCCGAATTAGTGCTTAATTGAATAAAATTAAACGAATACTCAATCCCCGGCAACGGCGCCAAAAACTTGTTCACGAAATAATTCTTTCGATTTAAAACTACCGCAAGTGTACGGTTCGTAACAAGTAATAAAGTGGATTTTTAAAAGTCCGAATATCGTCCCTCAGAGATTGAGTAGTTCAATTCTATTTAATCTAGCCTTAACCGAATCTAATTGAGTGAAAATGTGATCTAAGTGCAAAAAGCCCCAATTTCAACTAAAAACCCTAATTTCAAAACCCTAATTTCAATTGAAAACCCTAATTTCGAAATTTCTCTAATTAAACGACTTAAACACTCAAGTAAATGAAATTAAGCAAGTTTAAAAGCTAATTTATTAAAATGAATCAAATTAAAGTCACTAGGATCACGAATCCCCAATTGAAATTATAAAAACCCTAATTTCATAAAATTAATGATTCGATGAAAATTTGCCAATTCAATGTTCCTATTCTATCCAATATACTCTCTCGATATATATTAGACCTATTCTTGCACACCACTAGCCTATATCTCTATGGATGATGCAAACATACAAGAATGCATTTAGTTTTGTGAACAATTTAAGAATTACATAAAGCATAGAGGTATATCTCTATCCCCTATCGAACCCTATGTTAATTTACACCTTATCGAACATATTCCACTTCTCTCGAATGTAAGAAACAAGTCATCAATACTCACACAATCATTGGCCACAAATTGCGGAAGAAAACTAATGCATGTAAATCAATCAAAATATCCAACGAATCTTTATATCAAGTTCATGAAATATAGAATTAAAATAACAAACAACGGTTCATCGATCACCTAGTAATTAAAACCCTAGCCTAGAAGATTCATAATTACAGAAAACAAAACGAAATTAATGACTAGAAGGAATAACACCCGTATGAAAGTTCTTGAAATCTGAATTCTTGAACAAAACCTTGAAAACCCCTTTGAATCCTTGTGAAATCGGCTTCAAGTTTGTGTTCCTTGTCTCCAAAAGTTGTATTCTTCTTCTCCCTGGACGTTCTGCCCTTTTTCTGATGAATTTTGGCTTTTATATCATGTCCCCACGGAGCCCCGAAAGAGTTTCAATTAAAAACGGGATTTCAGAATTTTTTATCGACCTTAAAGCCATGAGGCCGCATGGTGTTAAACCATGCGGTCGCATGGTTCAATTTTTCAGCTCATTTGGATCCCTGCAATACCCTGTGCGGCCGCAAGGAATTATAACCATGCGGCCACATGGTTATAAAATTTTTCCTCCGGACAGCTTTTAGTATTTTGGTCATAACTTTCTTTCCTGATCTCCGATTGAGGTGATTCAAAGTGAATTGGGAAGAAAACTCAAAGATGTACATTTTGATAGAAATAGGCTTCCTCAAATTCTGATGTTTACTATGCCAAAAATGAATCTCAAGCAGAAACTCAAAATCACGAGCATAACTTTTTCGTCTGAAATTTGATACTTGATAATACTTCGACCATATTTCACCTATTGACTCCTTTCCTCATCCGATTGAAATTTAACACTCTTGAATCTTCATTTCATTTCCTGTCTCATCTATGGATTATTTGCAACTTGGTCCTCGATCTATCACTTTGTTCCGTTTTGGTCCTTTTTCGACTCTTTTCTTCTGAATTCCATCTTTTCCATAGAAACACCTACATAGCATGAATTTAACAAGATTAAGTCATAATTCGACTATTTTGTCCATGTTTAAGTCATGTTCGTGAGCTAAATAAGTGTGTAAAAACACACTTATCAGCCCTACTCCTAAAAATTTGTGAGGAAGGTAAATTGCGGGAAGTGACCTTTTAAGTGCTCACATGTGAATCAGTGGAAAGGATAATCAAATTAGCCATTGTCAACAACTTGCCTCTGCTGATGACAGCGACGGCGTCACATCCGCGATGGACAAGTTGCTTCAGCCAACGAAATAAACCTAAAATTTTTCCAAATTTTTTAATCACATTTTTCATAAAATTATTATTTCAAACAGTACTCTTTCCCAAAAAAAATTCAAAAGAAGGGCTATCGAATAGGGCTTATGTAAACGTTGCATGTAGTGTCTTGCGTCAATTTTCACTTCCTACAGACGGCTGCAGCAGTGCAGCTTCCATGAACGCGTCTTGAACTCGTTTCTTTGGGTCGTCTACGCCGGCATTTCTAATAATCAGCTTCGTAAATTCCCTAAAATTGCTGCGACTGACTTTGGATGACTTTCTGACAATGCATGCCGACGTCATCAAGTCTAAACAAGAACAATTTCAACCGCGCCGGAAGATTAGTCACAACAAAAGTGCAGCTTCTTGCATGAAATTATATCCAGTAACGCGTCTTGAACTCGTTTCTTTGGGTCTAATCCGCCAGCATTTCTCGCGTTCGGAATATTCCTTCCAGATCCACTTCGTAAGTTCCCTAAAAATTGCTGTGACCGCCTTTGGATGACTTTCAGACAATACAAGCCGACGATCGGATGATCGAAGTCAAGTCATGACTGAAGAAGCACAATTTCCACATCAAAAGATGCAACATTTCAATAAAAGCAATGACAAAGAAATATCCTTGTCCACACCAACCTAGATGCCTATAAAATCGATTAGGTTTGAATGTCTGTGAATTGAACAATTCTAGCATTCCTTCCCTGTTAAACGTAAGTAAAATTCAAGAATTTGTTAAGAGTGAGCAATCGAATAATAATCAGAACTGGGCAATACAACTACAGCAACCTCATGCCGCCGCCGGGGCTACCAGTACAGGAGGAAGCCAGAAGCTCAAACGCCCTCCAGCACCAACACAGAGACGACTTCCGAGAATCCCATCTGAACTCTTATGAAGCTGCGTGCCAAGCCAATATCGCTGTCAGGACATTCGACTCGACGACGATCGAGGTTCGCACTAGCAGGTCCATTAACTCTATGGCCCTTGGCCATCTGATTCCCTCCCTCTCCCTCGACTCTATCCTGGAAGTCACCGATTACCTTCCTGAAATAGATCCAGAAGTGGTAAACATTTTTCTCGAAAATAAGAAAGACACTATCGAATTATCGAATCTTGTTGATGATTATTCCCAAAAACGTCTTCAAACTTTAGAAGTCAGTACTGCCCTTGATGTCTGTCTTGAGCGTGGTGGTCATATCGAGTCGATAATGAATGTAGCTCTTCGAGTATTTAAGGAAGAAGATTACAGTATTTCGGGTGAAGGGTGTATGAAAATTTATCCGAGAACTTTAGAGGAACTAAGGAATTTAAAGTCGGCAGTGTATCCCTTCATAGAGTTCTTGGAACTGTTTACCTCGATTTATAAGCAGCAAGATTTGATGACAGAGAAATTGGAAGCAAAGAAGAGAAAATTAGACGAGAAGTTGAGGAAAATGAAGGTAAGTAGCAAAGTCTCTAATGTGATATCTGTCAGTACATTTGCCTCGGTCTTGATATGCTCGGTAGTGGCAGCTGCAGTCATCGCTCCGCCTGTAGTGACAGCTCTGGCTGCAGCAGCCTCTGTGCCTTCAGGGACTATGGGGAAATGGCTCAAATCGATTTTTATGAAGCGCGAGATGGATTTAAGAGGGAAAATGGAGATAATTACTTTAATGCATACTGGGACTGTTATCAAGAAAATGGATGTTGACAGGTTTCGGATTAAGATTGAGGAGTTATTGGAGTGTGTAGATTTTGCTACGAGGGGGGAGGGTTCAGTGGTTATTGCAATGGAGGAGATTCAGAAGAAGATGAATGGATTTATGAAAACCATTCAAGATTTGAGCGAGCATGTAGATAAATGTACCCAAAAAACCAGGATGGCTAGGAACTTAATTCTACGGAAGATCATGAATCAAAACTTTGGTATGTCATAAAGGATTGGATATTTACTAGTTCAAACATCATGTAAATACCATGGATTGGAAACTGAGTTATTTTATTTCACTAATAATGTATATTCAAATCATAGATCACATGTTACTCGAAGGTACACATGAGAATATGAATAATGCTCTTTGAACAGCCTCGATGACAGGTTCTATTTTTTGAGACTGAAATGGCAGCTCTTGGTTGGCAGTTTCTGACTTTTTTATTTTTAGGTTTTTTAACTGTCAATGAAAATGTGACGAGTGTGCATTTGTTTAAATCCATTTCAGTATGTTTCCCCATCACAGGTTCATTTTATTTTATTTTGGTTCATTTCATTATAGCACTGAAACAATAGTTGCAAACAATTAAACGCTAATACCAAGATCTTTAAAATTCATGATTTTCACATATAAGTTGATTGATTAAGAAACATACCTTGATCCATGACAATAATTGAGAAATTTAAATCTGCAAAAAAGAAACTGTTGTCTCACTTTTCCTCTCTGTAATTGAATGAATTTATTGATGAGTTTCATTCACGTATATAGGCAGAGAGGGGCAATTTCTTATGGGCCATAAAACTGCCTCTTTTTATCAAAGTGGACAATTATAAAAACTGTCACTTCTCAATTGGGCCAATAGGATTTTAGTAATATTAACTACTTTTAATTAATTCTTTAATATTACATGGGCCACGAAATTAATTGGTTTTACATTCTCCCACTTGACTCGTGTAATATTGTTTCGTTATGTGGTATATAATATAATGCGCATATCATGAGCTAAAATCCATCATACATTGATCACTTAATATATCATCATTAAGTAAAAACTAATAAGAGTCATGGCGGTTTTACAACATCATTTCGGCATAATTCCTTCCATGTACTACAATATTAGTCCCTACCTAACATGCCACATAATGAGAAGTTTGATAATTGCATTACAATAATGTCTTCGAAAATACTATCCCTGTCAGCATTCCCATAATCCATTCCCGTACATGTACCAACAGTTATGATAGGAATAATATTTTGTCAAAAACAATATATAAATGAGCTCAAAGTGTCAATATATAAGCATCATATTTGCATAATAATGTCAATGATAATTTCCAACAATGCTCATTCTCTCGACATGTTCATTAAATGTCTTTGGTGTCAATCCTTTCGTTAGTGGATCTGCAATCAAAAGATTGGTGTTAATACACTCGATTGACATTCTTTGTTTTTGAACATCTTCTTTAATGGCAAAGTACTTCAATTTCATGTGTTTAGCACCTTTAGAATACTTGTCGTTCTTTTAAAAAAAAGACCGCTGCAGATTTGCCACAATAAAGTTTCGGCAGTTTGGCTATACTGTTGACGATTCCCAGCCCTGAAGCCAATTTCCTTGAACTGTGGCCTCAAAGCATGCCACAAACGGCTTCCATAATGGATGCAGCAATAATCGACTGTTTCACACTTTTCCATGACATAGCTCCTCCAGCCAAGAGGAATAGATAGTCGAATGTGAACTTTCTAGTGTCCAAACATCCAACAAAGTCTGAATCTTAACACCCAATGACTTCCAAGTTATCAGATCTCCTATAAGTGAGCATGTGATCTCTCGTTCTTTACAAATATCTCAATACTTCTTTGCAGCTTTCCAATGATCAAGTCCTGGATTACTTTGATACCTACCTAACATTTCGACAACAAAACTAATGTCTAGTACGGTGCAAGTCTGAGCATACATTAAACTCCCAACAAGAGATGCATAAAGAATAGATGTCATTTGTTTTAGTTCTAATTCATTTTTAGGACATTGCATGAGACTAAATTTGTCTCATTTCTGAATTGAAATGACACTCGTTGAACAATTTTTCATATTAAATCTCTTTAAAACTTTATCGATGTATGCGTTCTGAGATAACCCTAATAATCCTTGTGACCTGTCACGGAAATTCCAATCACATAAGTTGCCTCTCCTATATCTTTCATTTCAAAATTTTTAGAGAGAAATTTCTTAGTCTTGTGTAATAGACCAAGATTATTAGTAGCTAGCAAGATGTCATCAACATATAGAATAAAAAATATAAACTTGCTCCCACAGACCTTTAAATATATACACCAATCAATGATGATTTCCTTAAATCCAAAGGAAGTAATGGTATCATTGAACTTAAGATACCATTGACAGGAAGCCTATTTAAGTCCGTATATTGATTTCTTTAACTTACACACCATGTGTTTCTTTCCTTCAATTGAAAAACCTTCCGGTTGATCTATGTAAACTTCTTCATCTAAATTTCCATTTAGAAAGGCGATTTTCACATATATTTGATGTAATTCTAAGTCATAATGAGCTACTAAAGCCATTATAATTCTAAGTGAGTCTTTCTTAGAGACTGGCAAAAATGTCTCTTTATAATCAATGCTATCATTCTGAGTAAAACTTTTAGCAGCAAGTCTAACCTTATATCATTCGATATTACCATTAGAGTCGCGCTTTGTTTTAAAGATCAATTTACACCCAACTCTTTTACATGATTCATGTAATTAAACAAGATCCCAGACTTCATTATGTTTTACAGATTTCAACTCATCTTTTATAGCATCTAATCACTTATCAGAATTAACGCTCTCAGTAGCTTGTGAAAATGAAACTACATCATCATCCACAATTCCCAATTCAAATTCAGTCTCCTGTAAGTAAACCACATAATCGTCAGAAATAGCAGGTCTGCGTTGTCTTTGTGACCTTCTTAATGCTATTTCTTTTGGTTCATTTAATGCAGGTTCATCAATGACAACTTCATTGTGGGGGTGTTTGATCATTTATTTGTTGTTCAAGTAAATTGTCACGCCGTTCAACAATTTGAAGAACAACAATATTAGAAGAAGTTGAGGGTAGAGAAACTTGAACTCTAACTTCTTGTATTTCCACATTTTGTGGTTCCAAACTCCCACTAACTTCACCATTCTCAATGAACCTAGCATTTTCAGTTTCAACAATTCTAGTACTTGGTTAGGACAATAAAATCTATACCCTTTTGATTTTTCTAGATAACCAATGAAAAATCCATTAATTTTCCTAGAGTCTAGTTTTTTTTCATGTGGCTTATAAATTCTTTCTTTTGCCGGGCAACTCCAAACATGCAGGTGCCTTAAACTGGGTTTTCTTCTTGTCTACAGTTCAAAAGGAGTTTTTCGAACTGCCTTACTAGGAACCCTATTTTGCAGATGCACGGCAGTCTTTAATGCAAACATCCATAAATATATGGGCAAAGACGAATTGCTTAACATATACCTAACCATTTCTATTAGAGTGTGATAACACCTTTTAGCCACACCATTTTGTTGTGATGTGACTGGCATAGTGTGTTGAGAACATATGCCATGTCTTTCAAGAAATTTAGCAAATTGACCAGGGTATTGTCCAGTTTCATTTACTTTTCATAATATTTACTACCTCTATCAGATCTAATAATTTTCACCTTTCTGTCTAATTGACGTCCAACTTTATTGACAAAGATCTCTAACACATTTATAGCTTGAGACTTTTCATGCAACAAATAGACATAACTATAACGTGAAATGTCATCAATAAAGGTGATAAAATACTTTTCTCTACCAAATGATGGAACATCAAAAGGCCCACATAGATCAGTGTGTATTATCTCAAGAAGCTGTGTGCTTCTTGTGGCTCCTTTTTGTGTGTGTTTAGTTTGTTTACCCTTAGTACAATCCACACAAGTTCCAAGATCACTAAAATCGAACTCAGGAAGGATTTCATTCTTTACTAATCTTTCTATTCTTTTCTTGGATATGTGATCTAAACGTTTATGCACCAGTTAGCAGATTGTTCATTCAACAAACCACGTTTAGCACCAACATTATGATGCAAAGTTAAAAGAGTCTTAGCAAAAAGGTTATCGAGCTTTAATTTATATAAGCCATCACAAAGAATAGTGAAAATAATGAGAAGATTTTGTTTAAACAAACTTAAACAATCATTTCCACCATTAAAAAAATATCCAGTAGAATCAAGTTTCGATAAAGAAACTAAATTGCGAGAAATAGAAAGCACATAAAGTGCTTGGAATAAATCTAAATTATGTCCAGTATCTAAAATCAAACGATAGGTTCCAATGGTTTCAATTGGAGCTTTTACTCGATTTCCCATGAGGACAAACTTTTCATTTGAATTTATGGCCTGGATTGAAAATAATCCCTGCATCGTATTAGTAACATGAGTGGTATATCCGGAATCAATCCACCAAGTATTATAAGAAACTTCTGCTAAATTAGATTCGAAACATACATAAGAAATAAATCTTAACTTTACTTTCGAACCATGCCTTACGTTTCAGGTAGTTCTTTTTATGGTGCCCAGGTTATGGTGCCCAGGTTTGGACAGAAATGCTACGTATCTATCTTGTGTTCCTTATTTGGGATTTGGGCAAAATATTCATTTATCTTTAGTGGTCTTTACTTAATGCCCTTTCCAGGCCTTTTCTTATATTTCTTTCCAACTCCTTGATGACTTGCAAGATAAACTGAATGAGCTCCTTGATTCTTAAGCCTTCTCTCATCTTGTACTAGCATACTATGCAATTCATTCACATTTCATTTATCCTTTAAGGTGTTATAGTTCATATAAAATCATACTCAGGAGGCAAGGAGTTGATGATAAACTTTTAGAAAGTTCTCATCCACAGTCATCCCAAGAGTCTTAAGTCTTGCTGCAATGTTACTCATTTTGGTAACGTGCTCATGCATAGTACGAGAACCATCAAATTTTATGGTGGTTAAGGTACTATTAGTGTGCCAGCAAGTGATTTGTTAGCTGTTTGAGAACATTCTTCCACAAACTTCATATATTCCTTAGCAATCTTAGTTTTAGATATTGTAGACTTGATATTCTTTGCTAAGGTCATTCGTATAAACATTAGACTTAATCTGTTTGACCTTTTCCAAGCCTTATAAAAAGATCTTTCATCAACACTGCTCTCATCAGTAAGGTCAGCAGGTTTCTCAACTTGAAGTGCCAAGTCTAAGTCCAAAATGCCTAAGTTGAACTGGACTTCTTCACATCAGTAAGAGAAATTGAGCCCATTGAACAATGGTACAGATAAAGTATGTGAATGTAGAGAAACGGGAACAGATGCTACAAAATATAAAATTTTCTAATATTAATGCCTTGTATTTAGACTTAACTACTTAATTCAGATTCGGATAACATTAAATGCATATAGTAGTTCTCCTTTGGGCGACACAACATTATACCGTTATAAGAAACGTAATGATGCTAATTTAATTTCACTTACTTGGTAATTAAATATACTCTAATCGAACATGTATGATATCTTTGAATTTACAAAACACATCCGACCAAGTATATTAATCAACCACAGTCATGTTCAAGGTTTATAAAATTAATTGATCAACCTTTGGATGGTCCATAATAATTTTATAATCTATCAACGTCGAGATACTCTTGACACTAATAATATTAATGTCATTTTTCATTTATAAATTGACAAGTGAATTATATAATTTAATGTTCGAAGTACCATAATGTTTGGCCACTTTAGTGATTAAGAAACAAAATTGATCAAACATTAATTATAAAAACAAAACATTTATCTAAATCATTCATCAAAACTTTTAGATGAATCATTTTTTTATCCCAATTATTATGTGTAAATTAATTACACAAAATGTTAACTCATTATCAACAATAAATAAACAAGGCACGGAAAATGAGTTATTAAATTACACATAATCTAACTTATTCCATAATTGAAATTAAAATCTTAAGATGGTAGATGTGAATTAGCCAAAGCAGTCAAAATTAACTTCTGCAATTCTATACACTTCTGCTAATGTTTTTTCGCGCATTAATTGGTTTTGCAATTTCAATTTTACATATTAAAGAAAACAGTCAAAAACTATTTATTTTTCAGCGTTGCAGTACATATAATTCTGCTAATCCTTTTCCTCCATTAATTACTTTGTATATATCAATTTTTTACACCCCTTATCTCTTTGAAGGCAGAGCCCAATTGCCATTAAAAACATAAAAACATGGGACGAATCTTTTGTCAGATAATAATTCAGCATATATGGCAGAAGTTATGCACAGCGTATCATCTTCTATGCAAATTCATCAACCCTCATATAAAATATAATCCTTGTCAGTAGCTTTTGGATTCCAATTCCTTTTAATGGATTAAGTCAATTCTTGCTGCTATTAATTTACAATTTTCAAAAAGCAGTAGAGAGAACGCAGCCGTAAATTTGTACAATAATTAATCTCACTAATTTCAGCGAAAACTTAATCCATAAATCTATAAGAATAATCAAAGATCGATAAATGAAAAACAATAATCTTTAAAAAAAATAAAAAATTCCATAATCTTGGCTCTGATATCACATGTAAACAATTAAACCCTAATACCAAGATCTTTAAAATTCATGGTTTTCACATATAAGTTAATTGATTAAGCAACATATCTTGATCCATGGCAATAATTGAGAAATTTAAATATGCAATAAAGAAACTGTTAAATTAAAGAAACTGTTATCTCATTTTTCCTCTCTGTAATTGAATGAATTGATTGGTGGGCTTCATTCACGTATATAAGCAAAGAAAAATAGTTTCTTATGGGCCATAAAACTACCCAATTTCCATGAAAGTGGACAGTTATAAAACTGCCACTTCTCAATTGTGCCAATAGGATTTTAGTAATATTAACCACTTTTAATTAAGTGGTAATTACACAAAACCCTACCATTCAAATCATGAATTTTGAAATCAGATGGGAACTTTAATCTTTCTAAAATCAGATGTTAGCATAATTAAATATTAATATTAAATACACATTTTTTTTTAATCCCAAAGCCTACCATTTTCTCTCTCGTATCACCCTCTCCCCAGTCCCCAGCATTCTCTCTCTCTCTCTCTCTCTCTTGTCGTCTTCTCTCCCTAGCCCCAACCATGCATGGCGCCATCACCACTCACGGCATCCCCAGCCAGAAGAAGCGTGAATCGCCGGCCAGATAATGCAGACCGTCATCGCCGTGAGGATCTCGCGACGTATCCGAGCTTCGCCAAGGCGCCAATCAGTGGTTTTTTTTTTAGTTTTTGGTAAATGGTTGTTGGACGATGGGTTGCAGTGGTAGATCTGGCTGTGATTGATTGTTGTGCTGTGTGTTGTGGTGGTGCAGTGTCATGGGCTTGTGATGTGGTGGTATTGTGTGTGTTCCGTGGGCAGTGGTTGTGCATGGTTGCCGTGTTGATTGTTGTGTAAGGTTCGGTGGTTGGGTCTTTTGGTACAGGAGGTAGTGATGTTGATGGTGGTGGCTTTGGGGTTGGTGGTGATGGTGGCGTTTGGGGTTGGTGGTGATGATGGTTACTGCAGTTGCAAACCGAAAACATTTTTGTATTGTTTGCAGTGGTTTCGAATTGGTTTGTAGTGGTGGATTGCGGTGGTTGTGGTTGTCGCAACAGTTTAGTTGATTTTGTGATAAATAATTGAACTCGTGATCTGAAAATTGTGATTGTAACTCACAATTTGGAAGTCACAGTTGATCGTGGTGGTTTGGGTGGTCATGGCGATGGTTGCAGTGGTTTGGTTGATTTGTGACTCATAATTGAATACGTGACCTGAAAACTATGACTGTGAATTGTAAGTGTTGGTGGTGATCACAAATTATTTGATTGACTGTGATCATTAAATTGGTTAATCTGTGACTAATAAATAATATGTGACCAATGAAAAAGATAAATTGTGATCGAAAATTAATGTGTGACCTAAAAAAATTTTAATCATTGATAATTTGTGATTGTATAATAAGGCGTGACTTGTAATTTTTTGTGATTTGTGACCAATAAATAAATCGTGGCTTATAAATTGTTTCGATTTGTGACGAATGAACAAATTGTGACTCATAAAATTTTTGAATTGTGACCTTAAAATAATTTGTGACATAAAATTTCTGATTTGTGACCAAAAAATAATAAGTGATGAATTAAATCGTTAATTTGTGACCAAATTATATAAATCTGTGACTTAAATATATTAAATTACTAAATTAATTAATTAATTAGTTAAATTATAAATAATTTTTAATAAAATTATGATTTTTGAAATTTGAAACTTGTTTTCTTGTTTTTGAAATTTGCCATAATTAATTTCTTAGTTATGAAATTTTCCCTTTAATTAATTCTTTAATATTACATGGGCCACGAAATTAATTGATTTTACAGTAGTATGAATTTAATGGCCATAAAAAAGAAAAATATCAATAGGAAAAAATGCAAAGGAACAACCGAGAAAAAGAGAGTAAAGGTTTTGCAAATTTCTTATTCTATTCTCACTGGACATTATTAATAATTTTATCAAGTTTAATATCAGAGGTATCAGAGGTATGTGGCTGGCAGTTTCTTTCTCAATGTTATCAAGTTTAGTGTCAGAGCAAACTAAATTTGTTTTTATGTCAAAATTTCTGAACCTAGTTAGATTTCAATTCTAGCTGTCAAGATTGGATGCAAAAATGATTTCTGTCAGTCAACAAATTTCTCACTTTAGAATGATGTAATGCATTATCATTTATATGGGGGGTGTACAAAAAAGTTCATTTACTTGAGTGATTTTGCGAAAATTCTTTTCCTGCATACAGAAGTTGAAGTTCGAGAGACTTAGATGATCATTGTGGCAGAAAGATCTCCCTTTCCTATATCAAATGCATATATATATTGATTCCTTTTCTCATATAATTATGATTGATCTTTTGATGAGAAATTGTTATAGTTCCAAACACCACAAGTCTATGGTATGCGTAACAGAAGGTGACCACGTAAATGCTAGAACTATTAGAAATTGGAGAGCATAAGTTCACTCAACACTCAAACTTACAAACAAGTAGTGAAGGAAATATGTGATTTTATTATCACTTCAACTTGACTTGATTTTCAAATGGCTATATTACATGAGTGTATATAGGATTTTCCCAACATAAATTTAGTCTAGTACTTGTATCAATATTTAATTGCAAACTTTTCCTCTACCCAAGTACATGAATAACACCAAGGACATACATGTACTATCTTTATTTAATGCATTTAAACATTCTAACACTAATCTAGGTATTTATGGATCATCCTAGAAATGAATCTAGCTTATTAATTCAACACTCCCTCTTAAACTTAATCCATTACGCCAAGGAACATCTGTAACTTTTGAAAAATGTCAATTTTTAAAGGCTTGATGAAAATATCCCCAACTTAGTCTAGAGACTTAACAAACTCAAGCTCCACTTCTTTCTTGGATATGCAATCTCGTACAAAATGATATCTCATATCAATATGTTTACTCCTTTCACAAAACATCAGGTTTTTGGCCAATGTGAGGGCGGACTTATTATCAACAAAAATCTCTGTTGCGCCTTTTTGTGGTTAGTAAAACTCCCTCATCAAACCCAATTGCACGACAAACACAAGAAGTAGCCGTGACTTACTCCGCTTCATACGTAAAGAATGTCACAATAGGTTGCGTTTTAGAAATCCAAGTAAATGCCATATTTCCCATAAAGAAAACAAACCCAATAGTGTTTTTCCAAACATTAATATCACCAACCCAATCACTATCACAATAACCAACATGCTTGAAGTCTTGAGAAGATGTATCGAACATATCGAAGTCAAGTTTCACGTTAATGTGACAAAGTATTCTTTTGGCTAACTTTAAATGAAAAGTAGTAGAAGCTTCCATGAAGAAACTTACAAGTCCAATACCAAAAAGAATTTCCGGTCTTGTACAAGTTAAATACCTCAATCTTCTCTCCATCTCTTTGCTTAGACAATTTAACTCCACATTCAACTGGGGTGTTCATTAGCTTGCAATTCGCCATTTCTAACATTTTAAGAATTTCTTTTGCATATCCTTCTTGAGAGATAATGATTCCTTCACCTCTTTGTTTTACCTCAATTCCAAGATAGTAGGACATTAATCCAATGTCCATCATCTCAAATTCTCTAGCCATAGCTCTCTTTAATTTTTCAAACATTTATGGATTATTTTCTATCAAACTCAAGTCATCCACATACAAACAAACAAAGAAAATATCATCATTTTTGTTCAATTTCACATAAAGTGCATGTTCGTGTGGACACTTGGAAAAGTTATTTGCTTGAAAATATTTTTCAATTCTGTTATTCCGGGCACGCGGTGCTTACTTCAACCCATAGAGAGCCTTCTTCAATTTTAGGATCTTATCTTCTTGTTCTTCAACCATATAATCCAAGGGCTGATCAATGTAGACTTCTTACTCCAAAAATCCATTCATGAATGCAGATTTAACATCCATTTGATGAATTTTTCATTGGTTTTGGGGTGCCAAGAAAATAATCAAACGAACTGTTTCTAAACGAGCAATGGAGCAAACACCTCGCCTTTGTCAATGCCGACTTTTTGCTTGTATCCTTTTGCAACTAATCTTACTTTATATATCTCTATCTTGCCTTTTGAATTTCTCTTTATCTTGTACACCCAATTGACTCTAATTGTGTTTTTTTCCTTTAGGTAGTGATGTTGGTTCCCATGTATCATTCTTCTTGATTACCTTTATTTTCATGGCACCTCTCCATTTTTATCAAGAGCGGCTTCTTCAAAATCTAGAGGCTCATAGTCGGCAAAAAGAAAAAATAGAGTTAAGTCGCTTAAATTTTGTGCTAACTCATTGATTAACTCATACAAATCTCGAATACTTCTAGTTTTTCGAGGTCTTTCACTTGTAATTGCTTTCCTAATTTGTGGATTTAGTGGAGTCTTGGGAGGGGAGTAATTGGCTGCATAATAACTTCTTCTTCTTCTTCTTAAAGAAGGATTAAATTTGCATTCTTCCATCCAAACTTTCCATTCCCAAGCTCGTTCTTCATCAAACTCAACATACCTATTAATGATTATTCTGCCACTACTTGGATTGTACAAATTGTAACATTTAGAACTTTGATCATAGCCAATGAACATATACCTCTCAATTTTGTTATCAAGTATAATCCTCTTCTCATCCTCTTCCTTCCCAACTTTCCATTCCCAAGCTCTTTCTTCATCAAACTCAACATACCTATTAATGATTATTCTGCCACTACTTGGATTGTACAAATTGTAACATTTAGAACTTTGATCATAGCCAATGAACATATACCTCTCAATTTTGTTATCAAGTATAATCCTCTTCTCATCCGATACATGTCCATTGGATATACTTCCGAAAATCTGCACGTGCGAAATGTTTTGCTTGTAACCACTCCAAGCTTCTTGGGGTGTTTTCCATGGAAACTTTTGATATGGCACTGGTTGGACAAATAGGCTGCACAAGCAATTGCTTCAGCCCAAAACTCTATTGGCATATTTTTGCTCTTAAGCATACGCCCAACCATGTTGAGTAGGGTTTGGTTCTTTCTCTCGGCTACAACATTCTATTGTGGCAATCTTGGAACTGTCAGAGGATGATGAATGGCATTTTTCTCACAAAAAAATCTTTAAATTCATTAGAAGTGATTTTTCCTCCTCTATCAGACAAAAGAGCTTTGATTTGATATCCGCTTTATTTCTTTACAAAAGTCTCGAACTTTTTAAAAGTCTCAAACACCTCTAATTTTTCGTTCAAGAAATAAACCCAAGTTTTTCGAGAAAATTCATCAATAGAAAGGAGAAAATAATTGTTCTTAAAAAGCAATGATGGTTTGATAGGCCTACAAACATCCGAATGGATCAATTCCAATGGACACCAAACTCTTTCGAAGACTCTTTAAGAAAGCTCGTTCTTGCTTGCTTTCCAAAAAGACATCCTTCACAAAATTGATTTGGATGATCAATGGGTGGCAATCCCTTCACTATGCTTTCCTTGCTCATTATTTTGAGGCCATCAAAATTCAAATGTTCAAATCTCATGTACCAAAGTCAAGAAGAATCTTTAGCACAAGATTTCAATTATCTCAGACTCAAGACATCATGTTGAATGTTAAACATAAACATTCTATTCTTCATCATCGGTACCTTGGCTAACAATCTCTCATTTTCATCTTCCATAGTCAAACTTTTGTCTTTCAAGTGAATATCATTATTTTCTCCAAAAGTTGTCCCAAGCTCAAAATGTTTCTTTTCATATCTGGTACAAAGAACACAATAAAAATGAATTGATGACTTCCATCTTTAAAGTGTATTAAATAGTACATTTTCCTTGGACTTGAACTTTGGAAGAATCTCTGAAAGTGATATTTCCACCAATGGATTCATCAAGCTCGATAAATAAATTTTTCGTTCTGCAAATATGACTACTTACACTAGAATCAAGATACCATTGTTTATTCTTTTCATTTCCATCGCTTTTGTAAGCGAGAAGCAAAGTAGGATCTCCATCTTCATTCTTGCTCTCCACAAAGTTAGTTTCCTCTTCCACGTTATTTTTGCATTCTCAAGAATAATGGTCATATTTGTGACAAGTATAACATTCAACAATTGATTTGTCATACCTTCCTTGATTTTGTCTCAAATTTCCTCCTCTGCCTTGCCCATGGCCTCTTTCATGATTGAAATTTTAGCTTTTTTCCTCATTATTTGAATGATGGTTGTTGCCTTGTCCACCTCGTCCATGACCATGACCACTTCCAAGTCCTCAACCACTTTGCAACGTGCCACTTCTTTCCTCATTCTCTTTCAATAAAAGCTTTACTTGCAAAGCTTGCTCTAGCAATTCTTGCTTTGATTTCTTCAGTCATTTTTCATGAGCTTGCAAAGACTCAGCAAGCTCCTTAATGTTCATGGTGTCTAAATCCTTTGACCTTTCAATGGCAAACAACAATATAATTGAATAATGGATCTAAGGATCAGAGAATTTTTTCAATGACCTAATTATCCTTCATGTTATCCCCATATCTCCTCATTTGGTTGACAACAGCCAAAACTCTTGAAATATAATCCGAAACATATTCGAATTTGATAAGACATGAAATGTTGTGTTTTACATTCATTAATACTTGTATCTTTGTGATTAATTACACCTAAATGTACTTAGCATCCTTATATTTTGATTTAAGTTGCAAATAGATGCAAATTATGGAATTTGGAAGAAAAGAGCAAAAATGGATCAAAATGGAAAAAAGTGAAAACTCTGGGACCAAGTTGCAAATAATTCATAGATGAGACGGACGATGGGATGGTGTTAGAGGTCAATCCGACGAGGAAAGAAGTCAAAGAGGTGAAATATAGTCGAAGTGTTATCGTATATCAACTTTCAGGATTGTACATTGTAACCGCATTGTATAATCTCGGGGAAATTTTTTTGGTTTCCTTATTTCGTTCTACCACTTATGGTAATAATTCAAGACACAATTTTTAAGCCCTAATTCAACCCAGAATGAAAGGAGAACACCCCCATTCACTTTTCTCTCATCTTAGTGCTCAAGAAACTCCATGAAAACTAAGATCGATGTGAAGCAAGGAATGAACTCTTTCGATTTGGTGATTTCACATCTATTATTTCATATATTTTTGATTGTCATTGTTAAACAATTCTAGTCTTTAGATTTTCATTCTTATGAATTTACATTGAAGTCGGTTTAATATTTACAAGATTTTTTGTAGATTCGGTTATGCTTTTTCCATTGTTAAATTAAACTATTTGTTGAGTTTCAATTTCAATTACTTATTGTTGGGATTAGTTTCACTTTTATCAAATCCTTTATAGATCTAATCATGCTCTTTCTGTTGAATAATTGAAATAATTGTTGAATTTTAATCTTTTTATAACTTTTTTGGTAGATTAATTACTGCCTTATGCTTGATATATATGGTTGATCTTTGATTTTGTTCCAATAAAAATGTGCGAATGTCTTGTAAGTTTAGATTCTAGGATTACAATTGTTAATTAAATTAATCTTTATTGTTAAATCTTCCGATTAGAGAGTTGGGATGAAAATTCTCTAATTAAGTTATAAAAATGAATATTAGATGTGATTGACCCAATCCAATTAAGAGAATTCCGTTGCTTCTCCATCTCAAGACATTAATCTTAATTTCATTACATTAACATTGAATTCTCCTACACAATTCAAGAGGACAATCAACCTTTTTGGATTCTTTGAGTGATTTTTCCATTTCCCTGTGGAATCGACATCCCAAAGCTATACTACAACTACCGCATTATTCTTTGAGCGTAATTAGGATTCCTTCATTTGTAGGGATTTAAATTCTCCTCTTAATGTTTGGAAACATGCCTTCTTCAGTTTATCAACTCCTTTAAAAGAATTTTGAATAATATCCCATGCTTCCTTGGAGGGGGTTGCTCTAGCAGCCTTCTCAAACATCTTTTCATCTAACCTTTGATAGATGTGAGATAGTACCTTCTGATCATTCTTCATGGTAGTAGCATCTGTATTTTTTGCTACAATACCTTGGGCCACAAGTTTCCAAACATCATACGGTCCAAGCAAAGCCTTCATATTAGTGCACCAATTACCATAATCTTCTTTGGTGAGTGATGGAACTTGAAATGGAGTTCCATTCATTATATTTTCTTCTATTATCTCTAAACACAAGCGTCTCTGATACCAATTTGTTAGAAATTGGAGAGCATAAGTTTGCTCAACACTCAAACTCGCGAAAAAGTAATGGAGGAAATACAGATGATTTTATTATCACTTCAACTTAACTTGATTTTCACATGGCTATATTACATGATTATACATAGGTATGGATGTCAATTCGAATCGTCAAAACCAAAAATTGAACAGATGGTACAATGGAACGGATATGGCATTTGATTTTAATGAACTGGTTCGAGGTGGGTGGGTATGGTTAAAAGAGCTCGCTTAAATGAGCTAGGTTTACATCTCACCTGACGTGGCTTTGAGGATTCTACATGGTAGGCAAACCTGGACCCACACTGTAACATCCCGAAAAAAAAAAAATTTTTTGATAAAAATTTATTTAATATCTATATTATATTATTTCAAAAGTTGAGGGACTAAGAGGTAATAT